AGTCTCACTAGGATGCCTCCCGAGGAGCGGAGATATCTATGCAAGGGGCACCTCGCGAGGTTCACGTGACGTGAGCCATGACGACCAAGGCCAGGCGGGCGCCAACGAGCGTAGTGTACCAGTTTCCTCTTTGGTGCTAAAGAGGTAGGCGCAGGCGAGGAGTCCCGGGGCGTCAGGCAAAGGTTTCCATATCGGTGCAACGAGACCAAGACCAGCAGGACGGCAGGACGGAGGTCATCGCGGAGCCCACAGCTACATCACCACCGGAGCCTTTGGCAGGCGAAGACCACCTTTTGCCAGGATAGCTTGTACTAGTTGTCTCCCTTCAAACTTGGTCGTTGTGGGATCCCTTCCCGCATAATATTTGGGAAGAGGACCGATGCCTCTATAAATAGGACTAGCCACCACCATAGGAGGCAACTAATCTTGGATTGGATCCATTCCACCAAGGCCACCCCCCGACTCACCAAGCTCAAGAACACCTCTCCTCAGGAGGTCGTTCTTACCTTGTACTTGTTCATCCTCAGCCTATGAGGCAATCCACCACACCACACTGGAGTAGGGTATTACACCACAACAGTGGCCCAAACCAGTATAAACCCTCGTGTCTATTGTTCTTTGGGTTCGTGAAGCTAGGCCTTGAGATCATCGTGCGAGCGAGCTAGGGAGAGAGAGTTCTTCGTGCGCACCCTAGAATTCGAACCTCAAGGGTTTGCCGGAACCCTAAATTCAACATCCACCATCATGAAAAAAAGCATTTGGAAAGTTTGGGGCTCCCAAGGTTAAGTTCTTATCCTGGTTGGCACTTCAAGGTAGGATTTGGACGGCAGACGGACTGCAAAAGAGAGGCTGGGACAATTATGGCCTTTGCACCATGTGCAAGAGGGCCAGCGAGACTGCCCCACGCCTATTCTACAAATGTTGTTTCATACTGCATGTTTGGAGATGGTGAGGGATTATCTAGGGCTTGGAGCATTTGAGATGCACTGATGGGGAACCGAGCAAAACGTCAAGAGGTGGTGGACCGGCATTGTCCCGACCAAATACCATAAATCGTAAGGTGATGGTTTCCTTCACCATGCTTGTGTGTTGGACCATCTAGAACGAGAGGAATGCTAGAGTTCTTATGAAAAAATCACTGCCACCTTTCTACATCCTAAAGATTATTCAAGATGAGGCCAAGATTTTGTCACCGCGGGAGCTACGCACTTGAGCAAGATCATGCCACGAGAGTAATTATGTATGTAATTTAGTTACCTTTGGCGGCTACGTTGTGGAGCCGATAACATGTATTTTTCAGAACTCCTTTATTAATGGTGGTTGGGGCTCTTTTTCCCATGTCATTCTTTAATGCATGATAGGCACGTTCATGCGTATTCGAAAAAAAAAGAGACAAACTGCCTAGGTTTCCAAAAAAGGGACCATCTGTCTGCCTATTGTTTTAAAATGCAACATGTATCCCAACTAATTATGCAATTACTCATTTTTTATGTCAACAAAAGTTGCTAGCAGATGATTTGTTTCACAACATTTTAATGAGGTTGTAGCATCTTGATAGGGATTGAATTAAGATTTTCTGTCATCAGAAAGTGTGAGGCCATGTACTTAGTGAATGGGAGACACAGAATTCCAAAGCAACGGCTCGGTATAGTTTGACCCCGCGTTGATCCTGTCTATTGTGGCACTAGATTTCGTGTTATCGCATCTTGGATCTCACCAAAGAACATGTTATTAGTGGTGATGGATTCGTTTACTTATGCGCTAAACTCTGCACGCACGTGCGGGATCACTTTTACTTCCACTGATTGCGTTGATGAAATGACGCAACGTACATATGTACACCTCAACTATCAGAAAGTCACAATCATAGCCCGTGTTTAGATCCGTGTCATCAACTAATTCCATGTGGCCCAGCAGGTTAAGGCATTGATCCTTATCTGCCTCTTTCTCAGCATCATTAATCCATGCCAGGATGTCGGTTTTCACCTTCCCCATAGATTGATCTAATTGGGCCCGCACGGGAGGAAAGTGGGCATTATAGGACTGTTGCATGCCATCAGCATCAATCGGTTTACTTTGGGCTCTAGTAGTTTTTGCAGCATCTCCTGAAACAACACTTGTTATGCCGCTTGCCTGCTTATTTTTAGATATTGTCCGCTCTAATTTTGGTTTTCCAATTTTGGAAACCACTAAATGATGAAGTAGATAATTTGACATGGTGGAATTCATCGCTATTTTGGACATTACGATAACTTTCGGCATGTCGAGTAGGACGAAACATATATTATTTTCCTTAATTTGTGGTTGGAAAGGAGAAGATACTAAGTAGAGAAGAAATGTTCAAATTATTAGCTTTCTTACATATTGGATGCAAGTCTGCCAACTGTAGCAGCTTGCTCTCCAAAAAATTGTCTTTTTAAGTGATTTACCCTTGCAATACCCTAGGTTTTTAATTAGTGCATATATACAAGTATATTGTTAGAGTGATGTCGTTTAGCTAAAGGATACTTAAATAGTTCGATACCAACCAACACATCAAGCAATAACCTGAAGACCAAGCTATGGGTCGGGATGGGGAACCCTTGCAGTGAGACTGATATGGCTCTCTTCTACGCTTCCACCGTCACCACCGTGGGAAATGTAGGGAAGACAATTTTTTGGGACGCATCATGGTTGCTTGGTAAGAGTCCGAAGGACATCGTCCCTCTCGTTTTCGCATCCTCCAAGCGAAAAAAATGGGCGGTGCGCGATGTGATGCGTCACAACGCTTGAGTATACAAGATCAACCCTTCCGCCATTCTCATGGTGGATCACATCATTCATCATGTGGATCTTTGGATTAGGCTGGATCAGTTCCAATTTCGCGCGGATGTTGAAGACGATATTTCTTGGAAGTTTGATGCAAATGGAGAGTACTCTGCGACGTCGGCTTACATGATTCAATTGCCGGGATCCACGTCCACCATCATTACCAAACCATTTGGAAAGTTTGGGGCCCTCCCAAGGTTAAGTTCTTCTCCTGGTTGGCACTTTACGGTACGATCTGGATGGCGGACAGACTGCAAAAGAGAGGATGGGACAATTGTGGCTTTTGCACACGGTGCAAGAGGGCCAACGAGACTACCCCACACCTATTCTACAAATGTCGGTTCACAATGCATGTTGGGAGGATGGTGAGGGATTGTCTAGGGCTTGGAGAGCTTGAGATGGACCGATGGGGGACCGAGCAAAATGTAGATGGTGGACCAGCATGTCCCGACCAAATACCGCAAACCGGAAGGCGATGGATTCCCTCACCATGCTTGTGTGTTGGATCATCTGAAACAAGGAATGCTAGAGTTTTTAGGAAAAAATCAACGCCGCCTTTCTACCTCCTAAAAAAGCTTATCCAAGATGAGGTCAAGCTTTGGGTCACCATAGGAGCTACGCACTGGAGCAAGACCATGCCGTGGGAGTAATTCTGTATATAGTTTACCTTTGACGGCCTATGTTGTGTAGCTGATAACATGTACCTTTTAAAACTCCTTTATTAATGAAACAGGCAATCCTTTTGCCCCGGTTTTTAAAAATAATACCCTTAAGACAGCCAGCACATCTGTTTGCCTGTTGTTTTAATATGCAACATGTATCCCAGCTAACTAAGTTGTTACTCATTTTTTGTCAGCAAAGTTGCTACTATCACATGATTTATTTTCACAACTTTTTAATGCGGATGTATCAGCTCGATATAATGACTAAACTAAAATGTTCTGCTATCGCAAAAGGCGAGGCCATGTACTTGGTGAAAGGGCGACACTTAGTTCCAGAGCAACGGCTTGGCATTTTATTTTACTTTTGAATTATGGCTCGGCATAATTTGACCTCGCGTCGACCCTGTCTATGGTGGCACTAGATTTCGTGCCATCGCATCATTGGACATTGTCGCCAGAGAGAGAGAGAACGTGTTATTAGTGGGCGATGCATTCGTTTACTTACGTGCTAAGCTCTGTACTACGCACGTGCGGCATCACTTTTACGTCCCCTGATGGAGTTGATGAAGTGACACCACGTACATATGTAAATGCGCAGAAAACAAACGCACATCCCAAAGGGCGAATGGGATGCTTACACGGCGACAAAACCCAATGATTTCCTCCCCTGCCCTGCATCTGCATGCACACCACGAAGCTCGTACGGCCGGCGTGCGATGGATGGATGGCCTTTTCCCATTTCGCGACACCGGAGCTCCATGCCTCTTATGGACGGCATTCATCTCGCACCTACGCCACGTTAGGTGGGCGCAGTACGCGCCCCACGACAACCAGCGCGGTCGTGGCGTACAGTGCAATATTCCCGGGCGTACGAGCCAAACGAACCAACGAACGACCGAACGATCGGCCTGCCCGGTCAAACGGACGAGCGAAGCTAAGCTCTGCACAGTGGGGCGTCAGGCGCCCCATCTGCGATTGCATCCGCCACCATCAATTCGTCGTCGAGCTCGCACAGTGCCGGAACTCGGGAAAGGTACGGCCATGAGCCGCGTATATACTCCACAGTGGCGGTGCATTGAGTTGGATGGATGGATGGATGCCACCACTGATTACTCGATATGCCGTCGCAATTATATGGCCGGCCGGCGACCGCACACCTGCACGGCGCAAACTGCTTACAGGGACGAAAAACAGGGGAGAGCGCCAGGGTGAGCAGCATCTAGACACACATTGACACATGCATACATCTGGTAGTAACTGCATGTGTGCATGATAATATCTGAGACGGCTGGCTCTCGATCGCCATCCGCGTCGCATCTCTCTTTTCTGTCCCGTCGATTCCATGGCTGGTATGGATCCATCGGCTCACAGCCGCCTACCAGTTCTTTTCTTCTCTTCTCTGTCAGAAAAAGGAAAACGAACTAGGCTCCTACAAAATCTCCACGGCTAAATCCAAAACCTTCCTATCTAAACCCCTAGCTTAGCTCTAGCTCTCTCTGGCTGGTCGGGTTACGGTCGCTGCCGAGTCAATCACACCTCTCTGGGGTCCACGAAGATGGACTGCCCGGGCGCCGACTTGGCCCAATCCCAGCCGTCCGCGTCGGGCTCGCCGCCTCCCAGCCGCTTCATGCACCACAGGTCCTCCGCGCACGACAGGCTGCGCCAGTGCGGCAGCCGCCGCCGGAGCGGGTCCAGCGCCGCCACCTCCACCGCCACGGCCGCCGCCCTCCCGCGCGCCCTGTTCACGAACGACACGTACAGCGCCTTCGCGGCCAGCGCTGCCTCGTCGCCTTCGCCGCCCAGGCCGTACGCGAACCAGCCCGCGAACGGCCGGAAGAAGTCCGGGACGGACGGCACGCGCATCCACTTGGCCGCGCGATCCAGCGCCCGGCTCGCGGCGGCTGCCGCGCGGCGGAGGCGCGAGGCCCCGCGCATCTCCAGCCGGAACACGCCGCCGCAGTCCCACAGGCTCGCCACGGCCCACGACGCCGGCGGCGAGGCCAGGAAGTGCTCCACCCCGCGCCACCTGAAACCGTCGTCCACGACGGCCAGGAACGTGCCGAGCGAGAGCCTGTTGACGAGGACGGCGCCGATGTCGGCCGGGAAGAGCTCGACGTGGCCGAACCGGCGGCGGTACAGCCGCTCGGCGTCGCGCGCGTCCAGGGGCAAGACGGCCGCGCGGCGCGGCGCCCGGAGGCGGTGCGCGTGCACGGGGTGCACGAGGAGCGACGGCGTGCGGAACTTGGAGTAACCGCACCGCCCGGTGAAGAGCTGCACAGACGCCTCGTTGGACTTGTCCGTGGCCATGTACGCGTACTCGGCGCCCATCAGCGCGAACCACCGCTCCAGATGCCCTACCAGCCGCAGCGCCACGCCCATCCTCCTGCAACCGCCGATCACGCGCGGCGCCATTAATTAGTATTTAATTCTTCGCCACGCACACGCCGAATCAATGCCACAGCGTACTCGGGCGGGCGGGCGCTCATGAGTGTCACGGACGGGGAGAAGATGAAATCAATTCAATTCAATTCAATTCAATTGTGTTTTACCTGTGGGAAGGTGAGACGCGGAGGCCGAGAATGTAGCCGACGCTGGCGAAGGCGGGCGCGCCGGGGCAGCTCTTCCCCGTGGCCACGGACTTGACGGTGCCGCGGATGAGCCCGACGATGCGGCCGGGCTGGGCGGACGTCTCAGCTACCTTCCATGTCAAAATCAACACAGTTGAGGATTAAAGCAACCCACTACCAGCCGCAATCGATGGAAATCAGCTCGCTGCTCGTCTGCCCTCGCGACGTGTAAGTGTAACTGTGCACCCAAGCAGCAAGCCGGAGCAGATAGACAGCAGGCACTTACCAGCATGAGATACGCCGGCGAGTTGCGAATGCGGGCGACGGGGTCGCCGAGCAGGTCGGCGTGGAGCGACATGCCGCCGGGCTGGCCGACCTCGCACTCGCGATCGACGGCCTCGGTGCCGGCGCGGTCCGTCGACGGGCTGTACTCCCGGATGATTACCCTCGGCTTCCCCTCCGCATCTTCCATGGCGCTCGAGCTCGACTGTAACCGTATACCGTATCCCTACGACTCACTCATCCGCAGCCAGCTTCACCCGGTCAGCGGTCATGTCGACGACAGGCCGGCCGGGAGCGGGGAGGAGGGGAGGAGAGGAGAGGAGAAAGCGGCGCGTGGATGCAGTCGCAGGGAGGGCGGAGCAGTTAGCGCGCGTATATATAGTGGCGGAGCCTCCGTTTGAATTCTTTTCCTATCCTTGGCCTCCCCGCACCATAATAATCTCTAAAAATTCCTATCCCTTGGGCTCCGCGGCTGGCAGACCGGAATTAAAAACCGAAGAGGATTTTAGGGGCCTAAAGCTAAAATAATAACTCACGCGCGCGCTGATCGCTCCTCCTCATAAACCAGGAAAAGAAAAACTGCAGACATGCTTAGCCGTCGCGCGACTGGAAAGGCGGCGATCAAGCGGCAAGGAGCATATGACTGCCAGTCGAAAAGAAGAGGCCCAACCCGAACGAGCCGCCCCGCCTTTTGGTTTTCCCAGCGAGTGGAGCCCGCCGCCGCCGCCGTCGTAAAAATAAAAATGGAGAGTGGAGCACATGATTGGGGGTTTACGGCAGCAACGGCGTTTAAGGTGCAGTGAAATTAAGATGGCATTAAGGTGGTCTTTGGATAGTGGGAGGGGGGGAACTGCCGCTTTACACCTGGTTCTGCTCTGCTCTGCTTGCCGCTCTTTCGGCCATCACAAAAGGCCAGCCTTTTTAGCGGCGTTACAACACTAACAACGGTCGGTTTTACCGTGACGCACGCACGTGAGCGCTAGTGGATCGGAAGGAATATGGTTTTCTGAGTCGGTCGTAGGGCAAGGCCAGCATTGCGACCGATCCCTCCCCCCCTGAACCTGAACCCAACTCGCCCAATAGTTAAGGTTATCCGGCGAAGTCAGAGTGGATTTTGGCGAGGCGGCCAACTTGTAGATCTTCCCTTCCCAGGTGATTCATCCTTTGTTTTATCGATTCTCTTCTGTGCCGACAGAAACACGGCCATGTTCTACAAACTGTCCCGAACTGTTCCCGTATTACTAGGAGCACAAGATGTTGGCGAGTACTACCAGGGAGTCTCCCGCGCAAAAGAATACAAGATGTTGCAACTATCACCTTTTCCACGCTGCTGGTGCTAAAACGCCAAGGCATCTCAGTTTCCTTTAGAGTTTTCGAATGGTATTACTGCTCTCTTTTTTCTTTAGAGTTTTCGAATGGTATTATTGGCGGTGGCCCCCATGTCAGTAGGTGGAAGTGAAGGAGGCAACGAGTGAGTCGCGCGGTGGCTTTTATTTTGTTACCAAAAAAGCCAGCAAATTACAAACATGGGTCTCACACGTCAGTGTGACATGAAAGAAACAACAGTAAAATAATTTGAGACCACCCGGACAAGAGTTGCTTAGGACGTGTTTGGTTGCCTGCATTAGGCCCAGCCTGGCCCGTGCGGAAAAGATTGAGCCGGTTTGGTTGGTTGCATTTACTGTTGGGCCTGCACAGCACGAAACTTAAAGCATACTTGGTCCTGGCTCGTTGGAAACGCTCGGATCGGCAGTTCCTAGCGAGCCAGGTTGAGGCGAGCGCACATGGTGGGCCACTTGCACGAGGGGAGATGGGAGGGATACGAGCTGGTATGCAGCATGTGCGTGCTTATCTTCTCCTACCTCCAGTAACATTCGCTCTAATTTTGTTCTTCCTAATCCCTTCTGATCTACACAACAGTGCTTCGATTCGAGGTAAGCTATCCACCAGGCCGAACTCTACTTTGTTTACATTCATGTTTTTTTTTCGAGAAATACACTCATGAGCTAGAAGGCTATATACGGCATGCCAACATGCCTCTTCAATTTTTATTTTTATTTTTTATAGATGGCGCTCCTATGGGTCCGCACAAGTTTTCTTCTCATTTTTTCAGGCTTAATTATATATACTTCTTGGCATTATTTTTCACATTTAAAAAAGAAATGTAAGAAAATTTATAATTGTCAAAAAACTTAAAGAAAATGATATTGCATTTCTAAAAAATGTTTGACATGTTTTTGTGAAAATGTTTCACATGTATTAAAATTTGTAAAACGTTTTGAAAAAATGTTCAACATGCATTCAAACTATGGACAATGATCATTTCAGAAATGCACAACATATTTTTAGAAAATATTCAGCATGTATTCTAAAAAACTGAAGTAAAATTATTCTTGCATTTCTGCAAACATGATTATTATTATATCACACAATAATCTTTAATACACGTTGGACAATTTTTAAAATACAACATTGTCAATTTTATTAATGATTTTGTACTTTAAATATACAGTGAAGACACACAAAAATTGTGCGTGCTTATGGTCCTGAATGAAGATACAAAAAATTAAACTATAATTTTGAATACATGTTAAACTGTTTGAATCCATATAAATTTAAGAAAACATATCATGTTTATCCGTTCAAGCTAGACAATATTGAAAATAGAATAAAAATTGAAAATAAACAATAATTATATATTGATAATTATTGTATTTTTTACATGAGAAAATTTAGGTATCATGAAAACCAAACAATAAATTAGAAAAAGAAGATAGAGAACACATCCATACCAATATAAAAAGACCCAAAGAGACAAATCCAATTAATCTCGACTGTCAAATCATGTCAATCCAACGATCTAGACTGCTTCAATGTCGAGCGCTCAACATGTTTAGTGTGCGGTTAATTTCATGCCAAATATAGTGCTAATCACATAATAACACACACATAATATCCTACTTAATATCCGCATGCACTTAATATACTTTTAAATTAACGAGCATTGCACGTACACATAGACTAGTCAGGAAAAATGCATAGCGATTGGACTATAATTCTATATATATTGCTTTTCAGATAATAGTCACACGCAAAACATAGTTCAGTAGATTGTCCAGCTCTGGTTCGAATTCCCTCCAACCAATTTATTTTTATATGTTATTTCTCTCTAGCATACTTTGTTTTAGGATCTTCTCTCTGGCATACTGACATGTTGAAACCTAAGGTGTATGGGGCCGGTATGGGTACCAGTGATAATTGACATGTTACTAGCGGAGTGGCAGTTTATAGCCCATGCCACTGATACTTTGGGTAAATGTAGTTTGTGTATAGTCATGTTTTACCAGTGACCCACACGTCAAAGAACTTAGACTACGTTGCCCCTTGCGGGATCATAACACTCACTAACTTTTCTGTCCACCGTGGCATTTCTCTCTCGCTCGTGGGGTTACGGAGGGAGGAGGAGCATATTGCTGGGAATTCAAAATGATACAACCGAAAATTTATTGTCTGTTTGTCGTTTCATTATTGATAATCTTTGTTCTATAAAATTTGACCCTTTCGATTTTTCTGCGAAGGATCTTTGCACCAGGGCCGGGATCCTTCCATGCAATAGCCAAGGAGACCTCTACATCTTTCCATCATTCGTGGTCAATCATCATGTTCATGGACTCCTCGCCACCACCTCCACCGAGTTTTGGCATCGTCGCGCTTAGGACATCCAGGACGTACGCCATGTCCCAACTTCATAAACAATCTGTTGTTTCTTACTCACGTGTTTGTGATGCTTGTCAACTTGGCAAGCACGTACGTTTACCCTTTGCTAGGTCATCATCAATAAGCATCGAATCTTTTAAGTTAATTCATTGTGATCTTTGGACTTTCCAATTCTGAGCAATTCAGGTTTCAAATACTATATTTCCCCGCAAAAAATGAAAATAAAAAATTCAAATACTATCTTATTATATTGTTGATGATTTTCACATTTTATGCGGACCTTCCCTCTCCAACAAAAGTCTGACACCGCTGCCATCCTTCTCAATTTTGTTGCGTACGTTCGGACACAATTCTCTCGTCCTCCTGTTGCTATGCAAGCTGACAATGGCACCGAGTTTCTTACTCCATTGTCACCATCTTCTTCACCTCTCACGACATTCGCCTCCGTCTCTCTTGTCCCTACTCTTCTGCTCAAAACGGCAAAGCTGGACGAGCTATTTGCATGATCAACGACATCGTCCGAACCCTTCTATTTGGGCAGAAGCCCTCACACAGCTACCCACCTCGTCAACATTCGCCCTTCCCAAGCTATAGACTTCGCCATCCCCTATATTCGCTTATATGACACTCCGCCCGATTACGCCGCTCTCCGTGTCTTCGGCTGTTTATGCTACCCAAACCAATCCGCCACTGGCAAAAACAAACTCTCTCCCCCCGCTCGGTCGCATGTGTGTTTCTTGGTTATCCTGGTCAGCACAAAGGATATTTCACATACAAAAACCCCGAGTATTCCATAGCAATAAAGGAAAACATGCGAATTCTAAATAAAATGGTAAAAAAACATTTGGGATTTTTATAGAATTCCATGGTGCTATGGAATACTTCTATTTATCGGTTTGCGGTTTTAACATTCCAACAACAAGTAATAAATTTACCAAAATAAGCATTGCTTTCCTTGGTCCTTTAGTTAGCGAAATTATTGACCCAAAACTACACGCATCCCCTATAGTACACCGGACGGAAATAATGAGGCAACAGAAATGAAATGTGCACCTCCGATCCCACCTGAGCAGCACGTGGCACGTTTATTCTCCGTCCTTGCAAAGCAGCCATGGATTCGGGGTGCACATTCCGGATAGAAGCAAGGGGACAAGGGGGGTCATTTTTTCTACGGCGAAAACAACCGCAGCGATCCTGGTCGAGGTCCCGGGAAAAAAAGAGGCGCCGGTTGTGTCTGCAAGTGGATGGACCTAGACCACCACAAATGCATCGTCCAGCGGTTGACAAGGAGGCGCCTGGCTCCCGTGTCGAGACAGACAGGCCCGGGGCGGGATCGATGGCTTGTCACGGCTTCATTATTTGATGCTGCTGGTGAAAGGACATGTGAGGCCGGCGAGCAGAGCAGCGTGCGCACTGCGCCCGAACCAGCGGGCCGTATCCGATGCGCGCTGCGCTACGCTAGGGCGGAGGCTA